GAAGGAAGGGAAGATCACACAGAAGAAAACCAAATGCCATAGTTACTATACTTGTCTTTATTCCTCATGATTGGTATTATGCCTGGCATATAGTAGAGGTTGCATCTGATGGAAGGGAATCAGGAATGGTTCACAACAGGTGTTATATTTGAGTTGGTTTTAAAAAGCCATTCAGGGGCGCCTGGGTGGCTCGGTCGGTTGAGCGTCCGACTTCAGCTCAGGTCATGATCTCACGGACCGTGAGTTCGAGCCCCGCGTCAGGCTCTGGGCTGATGGCTCAGAGCCTGGAGCCTGCTTCCAGTTCTGTGTCTCCCTCTCTCTCTGCCCCTCCCCCGTTCATGCTCTGTCTCTCTCTGTCTCAAAAATAAATAAACGTTAAAAAAAATAATAATAAAAAAATAAATAAATAAATAAAAATAAAAAGCCATTCAATTCTCGGTGGCTCCCTGATACCGTTCTCCACTCTGATGCAAAATCTGAAGCCAACGTTCAAGGTTCTTCACATTCTGGTCCCTGTATATCATTCAATCTCTATCTCTCTCTTACCCAGAACTAGGTGATAGCTTTGCTGTAGCTCAGATACCTCCCGTAACTTTCTACTTCCGTGCTCACATTCATGCCATTCTTCTACTAAAGGAGTACATACTAAGTGTCCTCCAATCTCAACACAATCCAATTCCATTATCTCTCAACACATCAAATTCCTCCTGTTTTATACAGAAGAACTTATGGAGCCTTTCCTGATCCCTCCAATCATATGTTCTGTCTCCCCTCTTTGAAATTCCGCAAGATTTACTGACATTTCTCTTCTGGTATATATGCCAATTAGCCCTGAGTTACAGCCGGGTAATGTCTTTGTCTCAAGATAATAATCTGTGACATTAGACACTACATTATTCATCCATATTGCCAAACAAATGGTAGGTTATCAGTAGCTTATGTGACAGGGCAAATATAGAAAGGACAGTCTATAACTCAGAAACGGAATAAACAATGGCACTAAGTTAAGAACATTTGTGGCTTATGCCTAAAATGGTGACTACTGCAGTATGTTGTTTTTTTTTTTTTTTTTTTTTTTTTTTTTTAAGTTTATTTATTTTTGAGAGACAGACAGAGCACAAGCAGGGGAAGGGGACAGACAGAGAGGGAGACACAGAATCCGAAGCAGGCTCCAGGCTCCGAGTTGTCAGCACAAAGCCCGACACGGGGCTTGAACCCACAAACTACGACATCATGACCTGAGCCGAAGCCGGACGCTTAACCAACTGAGCCACCCAGGCGCCCCTGCAGTTTGATTTCTGAACATAGTGTTTAGTTGACAGAATCACAGTGGTTACGTTTGGAAGACAGGTTGGATTCAGATTACAGAGACTTGAATGCCAGGGTAATAAAAATGGCATATATTTAGCACTCAAGGAGAGTCACTGATGGTGTTAGGAGCTGAAGAGTAGCAAAACCTGAGATATGAAAATCAAACCAGAAGCACTCTGGTTGACATACCAGTCTTCTGGGAATTTGGTTGGAAGCAAGTCCATCCCTGAGAGAAGAATTGAGTCTTGGTATACTGATAAAATTAAGTGTATAAACCTGTAGATCTGTGAGTCCTGGGAAAGTCACTAAGCTAAATACTGCTGTGTAGGCTCCCGATAACCCGACATTTTAGTATCCACCTCAATAAAAGGAAACAGGCTCAAACCAAAGCATCATTACTAAATTTCCAAACTGGTGAAAAAGAGGACATTCTCTATTTTTTCCAGAGAAGTCAGAGGGGAAGAGAAAACATACTACATACAAAGGATGAGGAATCAAATAGCCGTGGATTCCTCAGCAACAGCACTTGAAGCTAGAAGACGGGGAAACTGTTTTTCAGATTCAGAAAGAAAAGAATTTCCACCCTAGAATTCTATGCTAAGCCAAACCATCAATGAAGGTGAGAGTAAAATGAACAAATTTTCACACACACAAAGTCTCTGAACGCTTATCTTCCATGCACCTTTCTCAGAACACACTGAAATAAAGATATTAACAAAGAAAAAGAAAAATGGGGCATAAAAGAAACAGGAAAGCCAATGCAAGAGTGAGGCACAAAGAATCCTCAGGATAACGGGGAGCCAGGACAGCATCTGTGCGCCCAGCACAAAGGGCAACCACTCTAGACTGCAGGAGGTCAGGGATCTCTGGGAGACGTTTCCTTAAGAGTACCTGATGCTACTTCGGGGCAAACAGACTGTGCAGGAAACGTCATCTAAGCATATGACATGGCTCGCTGGGACTACAGAATGATGTAAACACTGAATACTAATCTACCTAAAATAATACACCTTTTTGGAGGGCTACAGGGATGAGAAATTGAGTAGAGGAGAGGAAAGCAGGGGTGAGGAAGGAAAGTTAAATACTCATCTTCCATAGTAAGAATCAATCTATCCTTCTAAAACTGAAAGGTCAAGGGGTGCCTGGGTCGCTCAGTTGGTTGCATGTCCGACTTCGGCTCAGGTCATGATCTCACAGTTCGTGGGTTCAAGCCCCACGTCAGGCTCTGTGCTACAGCTCGGAGCCTGGAGCCTGCTTCCGATTCTGGGTCTCCCTGTCTCTCTGCCCCTCCCCCGCTCATGCTCACTCACTCGCTCTCTCTCAAAAATAAATAAACATTAAAAAAAATTTTTTTAAATAAAAAAAGTAAAATAAAACTGAAAAGTCAAGAGGTGACAATCTAAGCACATTATTTGGAAATACAGGAGGTCTATGTGCATGAACATGTTAAGAAGTTGTACATGTTTGGGGCACCTGGCTGGCTCAGTCGGTTGAGCGTCAGACTCTTGGTTCCTGCTCAGGTCATGAGCCTGTGGTTTGTGAGTTCGAGCCCCGCATTGGGCTCTGCACTGAAGAGCCTGCTTGGGATTGTCTCTCTCCCCTCTGTGTCTGCTCCTACCTTCCTCGTGCTCTCTCTCTCAAAATAAATTTAAAAATAAAGAAAAGGAAAAAGAAGTTGTAAATGTTTAAAAGACAGCCACTGTGATACAACCACTTGGGATATTGGTCTGGCAGTATCTAATAAACACAGATTCACATCAAATCATTCCACTGCTAGGTGCAAACCCCACGAAATCTCACACATGTATATGGATGGTTTATTGTAGCACTGTTCGTCATAAGTAAGGTTTTTAAAATAACCTAAAGGTCCAACAAGAGAAAAATGGCATGTAGTATGATATATATGTATATATTCATGAAGTGTGATATATATAAATTCAATGTAATACTATACAACAGTGAAAAAATGGATTCCTGGAGCTCTGAGTATCCAACATCAATAAACCTCAAAAACCATGTAAGAGGAAAAGCAAGTAGAGAGAAAAGATAGAAAATTAACATATCACACTATTTGCGTAACGTTTAGAATAACACCATACATGTACATATGATATATACACACACATACACACACACAGCAACTTCAGGATCATAATTCCCTCTGGGGTAGGAAGTGGGAAATGAGGTCAGAGAAGGGTTCAGAGAGGGTTTTGATTTTCCTTGTAATGTTTTATTTCTTATGATATATAGTAATACATCAGTCTCCATTATATTATCTATAATTTTTGTGTATAACTGAAGTATTTCTAGGAGCTTCTGTTCAAATTTGGAAAATTAAACTCATACATTGAATTGTCCATCTCAAAGCACGATTAGAGGACCATAATCCCTTATGCAAACTCACAGCTTCAGGTTTCAGAATTCTGAATTCTTTGGATTTTAGAAGGGAGCATGATACAAGTGCATGTACTACATTGCACGTTCAGTGGGATCTGTAGTCAAATGATGTTCAAAGTGAGTATCTGACACTACCCAGGTGGTTGTTCTCCCTCAGGACAAAGGAGCCACCAGCCTGGCCCCAGGCAAATAGCCCTCACTCCTTAAACCTGCACCGATTCCCTTTGCCCCTTCGCGGAGCAGAGAGGGGAGGCAAGTGAATGGGGACAGCAGCAGGCGTCTGGGAAAAATGTGGACTCTGTTATATCCAGATTTGTGAGTACCTAGAACTTCCCTGACTCCTGACTTACACCAGGTCACTACTGCCCACTGCTCTGCGGCCCTGACCTAATATGGGGCAAATATACCACCTGATTCCTGCTGAACCTATTTTCTGCTTTATTTCAGTTGCTGTTAGGCAGAACACTGAGAATGACCCAGCTCTACATCCCAGTCTGTGTCCTGCCTCTTCAAAGCCAGATCACACACACACACACACACACACACACACACACACACACACACACAAATACATATCCACATTCGCGGCACTCTAAAGCAGAATTCCTTTCACTGACTTCCTAACTGATCAACCTTTCCTACGTTTGGCCGAATCTGCTCACCTGTGTTCCCCCAGGCCCCCACCGCTCATCACCCAGGGGCTCTGTATTTCCTGCTACTACTGGCATCTTGCTAACTCCCCCTACCTGGGTTTGGCTGCCCTCAGTCGCATCATGACATATAATCAGCCTCAGGAGGTGATAAATACCAGCTTGCTCTTAAAAGCCGATGCTGAAAAATATTTTTATTTTTATTGCTGATTAATCTGACTAATGAAAGAAAGAACACTGTGCTTAGCTCATGTCCCATTAAACATCTGTTATGGTCATCAAAACCTCTTGGCTATTATCACGGGTGACATTCTGAATTGATATCAGCAATAGAATCAATACCCAATTCCCTCAATACCAAATTCAGTAAGCACGGTATCCAACTGGGAAAAGGTGAGAGGAAATACCCTTCTCCTCCCTAATTACCAAGTGGCCAGTCAACCACTTTTACGCTGGTCAAGCTCGTTGATTTACTGTGTTTGCTAAATGCTCGGGCCTTACACAGAGCAAATGCAAAGGATAGCAGGCATGTCACAGTGTTTTCAAAGGGAGCTCCGCATGTCTTCCTTGGGAGGGCAGCAGGAAGCGAGCTTTGGAGCAGGATGTCAGCAAGCAAAGGGAGAAAGGCAAAAGCCCACTTACCATAGAAGAGGAATGCTTTGGTCATGTGATGATGTAGGTAGGTCCGGTTGATGGTGAAGAAACACGCATCCGCTCCGCACTGGCCTAGCCTTCCAGTTTCCCCGGTCAGTGGGGACCACCAGAGCATGATGGGGTAGTTATCAGTCTCTGATTTGTTTTTCCAGTTCAGGGCTTCTTTCCCAGGGAGTGGATAGAGGTGTGTAGGCTCCTCCTCCATCGATGCATGTCCATCTTGCCAGTTGGAATTTTTAAACTTCTTCCTTTCAAGTTTCCCCAGCTCAACCACTACCTGAAAGAGAAGACAATTATCACAGAGTCAGATTGTTTAATTTCCATTCACACATCTCCCATTCATCTTGATGACCGAGCCTTGCATTAGTTTCCTTTTGCTGCTCTAACAAATTACCACAAACTCAGCAATTGAAAAGAACACATTTATGATTACATAGTTCTGGAGGTGAGGAGTCTGACCTGGGTCTCACTAGGCTAACAGCAAGGTGTCAGCAGGGCTACATTCTTCTCTGGAAGCTCTAGAGAATCCATTTTCTTACTTTCCTATCTTTTAGAGCTACCCACCATTCTTGACTCGTGGCCCCTTCTCCATCTTCAAAGCCAGCAATGTTGCCTCTCACTCTTAGTCTATTGTCACATCTATGTCTGACCAGGGAAGACTCTTAGCTTTTAAGGACTCATGAGATTGCACTGGGCTCACACTGATAATTCTGGATAATCTCATCTCAGTGTGTCACCTTAAACCATTTACATTTACATTTCCACAAGTTCCAGAGATTAGGGTGTGGACAAAGCCTCCGAACTATCTACCAACAAGGATGTTTAACTCCACTGAGCACACGCCAGGCATATTTCTCTATTCCATAGGCATCTATAGAATCCAGAAATAGTTTTATCTCTTTTTTTTTTTTTTTAATAGTTTTATGTCTTAATGACACCCATGAAAATCAGGGCTATTACTTGGCTATTGTTAGAGATAACATTCTAGGGAAAATTAGTTGTAAATTAACAATCAGTTTCTTTTTGGTACAATTAAAGGAGTAATAACACGGGTCTTACATTTCTAATAATTTCCACTGTGCTATCAGGTGAAGTATACAGTGAGTCCTGGGCTCCCTTCCATGTAAAACTATGTTTATTTATTGATTTCAGGACAGTGTGGGTCACTGGATAGCTAGGACATCAGTAACAGGAATCTGGAGGGCAGGGTGGACAGAGTGGAAACAGGAAAGCAGTTGTTCTCCAAAAATGCTGCCTCATCATCACATTTTAAGGGTAGATATTGATACAGTGTTATAAAAAATGTGTTAGAGAAAGCAGTATAAAAGTACGAATTGGGGGGCGCCTGGGTGGCGCAGTCGGTTAAGCGTCCGACTTCAGCCAGGTCACGATCTCGCGCTCCGTGAGTTCGAGCCCCGCGTCGGGCTCTGGGCTGATGGCTCAGAGCCTGGAGCCTGTTTCCGATTCTGTGTCTCCCTCTCTCTCTGCCCCTCCCCCGTTCATGCTCTGTCTCTCTCTGTCCCAAAAATAAATAAACGTTGAAAAAAAAAATTTTTTTAAAAAAAAAGTACGAATTGGTCTGTGTCACATATAACTGAAACATTAGCAGTTGAACTATGCAACAAATCAGTCAGTAAAAGGAAGGCACGCTTTTACGTATTAACTCCTTCACCAAGCAACAGCGGACATCTGTGTGGCCCAGCCCCGACTCTCAGCAGCCCAGGTGGTGCCTTCTTTCTTGCTTGCGGCCCTAGTGTCAGAAAAGGGCCACGGCCTGATGATAGAGTCTGCAGCTCGCTGGTGAGGGTCTGTAACATTCACTCGATTCCCTGAGAGAGGCCAAGGCCAAAAAAAAAATGTCAAAAACCACTGAGTGACAGCCAAGTAGCACTCCAAAAAAAGTAAGAAATTATACTGGCTTGAAAAAATCATGGATCACTTGTGACACCAAAGTCAGCATTATGACAGTAAGATGATCGCTAAAAACTAAAGAAAAGTCTAGCCCCTGCCAACAACTTTGTCAGCATTTTCATGATAACTTAAGGTTGTGGCTATTCCCCAGCACCTTGATGGAGTGGAGTTGACTTGTAGCCACAAAATCTGTATCTCTTCACCAGACCTTCCCCCTGCAAATGTACAACCAACAACTTTAAAAAGAAGCTTTTAGAAAGCCATGGATAAAACTTCAAAGACAAATTTTGTTCTAAATTTCTGATCAATGTCTATTATGTGAGGTGTAAGTTCATTTCCAAAGAATAGGGATTGCTTTAGGGAGAGATTCTTCTGCCAAATAGTTTTTGTTGTTGTTGTTTGTTTTTTCTTTTTTAAGTTTATTTATTTATTTTGAGAGAGACAGAGACAGCACAAGTCGGGGAGGCACAGACAGAGAGGGGGACAGAGGATCCAAAGCGGGTTCTGTGCTGACAGCAGAGAGCCCAACACAGGGCTCGAACTCGCCAACCGCGAGGTCATGACCTAAGCCAAAGTGGGACACTTAACCGATTGAGCCACCTGGGCACCCCTTTCTGCCAAATAGCTTTTAAAAAAACATTAAGCCTCAGACATCACCACTAAGTGGTAAGACATATGAAGGACAGAGAAATATATTAAATAAAACTATGAGTAAAATCAGCCAAATCTAAAATCTGGGAAATTCCAAAGTATCAATGAGACAGTATTTTCAAAAGCCCGTGACATGGAATAGAAGGTGGGACAGAGGAAACTTTCATAGTAGAAAAAACAAAACCCCACAATTGGAGACACGCCAGCTAAATGTGATATATGGGATTTGTGTATTCCAGATTCTAACCATCCCATTATAAAAGACTTCTTTGAGATAACTGGGAAAGTCTTAACACGGCCTAGGATATGAGTGGTGCTGATTACTTACTGCTAACTTTGTTGGGTGTGGCAATAATTTGGTTATACTATACTATACTTCTAAAAGTTCCCATCTGTTAGAGAATCATATTAAAGTAAATCCAGGTAAAATAATATGAAGTCCTGGATTTGTTCTAAACTACTCCAAATGTATTCATGAATTATTATACAACCAAAAAGTAAATAAAGTTCAAACACTAAAGATACATATACACCCAAAGAATTTACATGTACTGTCTACAAAATACAGTAAAGTGTGAGTAGAAAACAATGTCTCAGATGAACGATTTCCTCTAGGGGACCACGGTACTTTAGCTTAACTGAAGATCTGCATAACATTTTCAGGGTTACGTTATTTATTAATTATGTCATAAGATTTGTTATGGCCTAAACTGTAACCTGCCCCCCAAATTCATACACTGCCGTCCTAACTCCCATTACCTCAGAATATGACTGAGTTAGGGGACAGGGTCTTTAAAGAGGTAATTAAGTTAACAGGAGGCCATCAAGGTGGACCCAACAGGTGGTCATCAAGTGTGACTGGTATCCTTATAAAAAGAGGGTATTAGGACACATAAAGGTGAAGAAGGCAGACGACGTGAAGACACAGGGAAAAGACAGCCATCCACAAGTCCCGAGGAGAGAGACCTCAGAAGAAACAACCCTGCTTGCTGACAGCTTGATCTTGGACTCTCGGCCTCCAGAATTGTAAGAAAATACATTTCTGTTGTTTAAGCCACTCAGTCTGTGGTACTTTATGATGGCAGCCCTGGCATGATTTTTTTTTTTTTTTTTTAATTTATCCTTCTTTTACCCTCCCTACATGGCAACAAACCACTAGAAATACGAATGGTCCTAAATGTGTGGGCATTATATCTTCTCGTGCACAGTGTTTAAGAAAAAATAGCACCTCTGAAACTCTGAACACTAAAGCATTTATTTTATTAAATTTTTTTAATGTTTATTTATGTTTAAAAGAGTGCAAGAGACAGCGGGGGAGGGGTAGAGAGAGAGGGAGACACAGAATCCGAAGCAGGCTCCAGGCTCCAAGCTATTAGCACAGAGCCCAATGCGGGGCTCAAACTCACAAACTGCAAGATCGTGACCTGGGCCGAAGTCCGACACTTAAGTGACTGAGCCACCCAGGCACCCCTAACACTGAAGCATTTAATATACCCATGTGGACAGGGAAACAGCCCAAACCACACTATTGGTGGCAAACCGAAATCAAGATCCAGACAAGGGTTCAGCTCCAGTAATCATACAACCTCTCATACTCTGGAAGCTTAGAAACGACAGCCATACCCAAAACATGGCTATTTCTTCTGACATCAAAAGAAATGCTCTCAGCTTAGACGCAGCCGTCCCTCGTAACTGAAAAACAGTGCCAAAATAATTGTCTACTAAGATCAAAGCTCTCATAACATCCACAGAAAGAAGTAGAGAACCCCAGTTCCTCCTGCACAGGGAGGTCCTGGACACCCACAGGACAGACAAGCAGGAAGGCAAGTATTTCTTCTGACCAGAGTCCCAATCTGGCAGTAGAAGGTGGTAGAATCCAGCACCAGACTGTCTGCCACAGTGCTTTTATACGCAAATCTCATTCAATCTTAATCAAGAAGGAAGATCACCGAGAGTGAAAAAGCCCAGAGAACACCTATCTTTCCGTCAGCCCCACACCTGAACTGCTCACGTCCACAAATCATCTTTAAAAGTCCTTTGGATTTCTGGGGCGCCTGGGTGGCTCAGTCCATTAAGCATCCAAATTTGGCTCAGGTTATGATCTCACAGTCCGTGTGTTTGAGTCTGCATCGGGCTCTGTGCTGACAACTCAGAGCCTGGAGCTTGCTTCGGATTCTGTGTCTCCTCTCTGCCCCTGCCCCACTCATGCTGTCTCTGAAAAATAAATAAATGTTAAAAAAATAAAAAAATAAATAAAAGTCCTT